GGGACATGGTTTAATGGTGGGATGGCAGGGTTCGGGAATGGTTGGGCTTGATGATCTTAAAGGTCTTTTCCAACCAAAGCGATTCTATGATTCTATGATCTCTCCATTTAAGAGTCCCAGCTCATCATTTTTAACAAGCAGAGCCTCCAAGGCTGCTCGCACCCCCCTCCAGGCAGAGGAGACTGAGCAGAAGGAGCACACGATGCCGGTGTACGGCATTGCACTTAAAACTTCCTATCGCTCCCACTGAGCGTGAAGCTTCCCTCCTTGCCCTGTCCTCTTCCAGGATGCCTTCTCAGTCCCTCTGGTCCACCCTGCACAACAGCCCAGCGATGCTCTCGCACAGCCCAAGGGTGCTCAATCTAGAGCTCAGCATTGCAACGCAATGGTAAGCCAAGAAAAATAGAAAAAAAAAATGAAACTGAGAACCATCTTCAAACTGGGCACTGGGATGGTTTTCCATCATCGGGGGGGGTAGCTGGGGGCAAACTGCAAAATTCACACAGCCGGAGGGGTAGCAGCTTCCCCAATGAGCTGGATGGTCTGCGGCCGGGGCGGCAGCAACAGTCGTAGGGCTGGAGCCAGAACGGCCCGAGGATATGAGAGGCGAGGTCTGCAGGAACATGTAATACCTTTTAATAGACCAGCTGGTACAGTTGGGAAGGGAAAAAGAAAGCCACTCACACAACCACACAAGCCCTCCTTTGAGCTGGTGCACCTTCGTGCTTGGCCATTTTTTCCAGCTGCATCACTTGGTCTAATTAAAGACATCACCCCTCCCTGCAACCCTTGTCTCTTCCTCCAGCCAGACCTTCCCAGGACAAGAAATCTAGGTCGTTCCGATGCCCTCATCGGGATACTTGACAGCCTGCCGACGCGAGATAAAGATTTTGGCCTTAACACGTGAAGGAGTTGATGTCCTGCGCACAGGGCAAAGAAAGCTTGTTGTCCTTCAAAACCAAGAGCTTCAAGCTGTCACTGCTACCATCAGTTTGGACGCCTGGAGGACCCACAGGAGCCTTCGGCCATCTCCGTTGGCCAGCATGAGCGATGAAGCCACGGCAGCTCTGAAGCTGGGGCTGGTGGGATGGGACACGGGACCATTCTGGAAGTCCTAAGGAAATCCCAGACCCGCCTCTGGCCATCAGCGCGGGGATGCCTGAGCAGGCGGGAGCAGAAGCACATCCTGCGCTCAACGTCAAAAGCCCATGGGAGCAGATTCTGTGGATACAGCAGCCCCCATCTCCTCACCATGTCCATACCCCGCAGAGCGGCTACACCCGGCACCCCTCGGTGTCTCAGCCCCGGCCGGCAGGCG